AAATAATATTTATCCAAAAACACTTTAGTGGCCATTAATAATTCCAAACTGTTATTTTTAAGGTTAACTTATAATGGTACCCTTTATATATATCTGACTATAAATGATTTTTGTAAGAGCAACTACATTTGCTTCAAACACTATTTATTTCTTAAGAATAAATGAGCCTCATTTTCTTTAGGTAGAAAATGAGCCTCGACTAATAGTTCAGAGACTAAAACGGCTATTCTGCATAAAGTTTTCTATGAGTGAATAAAGTTTTTCCTATCAATTTAGAAGTTTTTGTGATGCATACTAAAAGCATAGATTTGGTCAGGTTTTATTACGTTCGCCATTAGTTGTTGTGATCGAAGAAGGAAGAAGCTTGGGTTGGGGAAGATGATCGCTAAAATGGAAGGTAACTAAAGGCTTATAAGAAAACAATGGGCGTTTGTTGAGTGTGAGGAGCTCTCTCAATCGCTTCTTTATATCCCCTTTCATTTCAAATTATAAATTAGTCAAACTTTCCTAAAGAGTCAAGACATCTCTAGTTTGACCAAAATTATAAGAAAACAAGTCTGCTTTTGGTTTGAGTTTTCATCATGGGTTACTACCGGTTACAGCATCGGATGAGATGCCAAATTTTGGTGCATGAGTTGCATAACGTTCCATTTTTTTTGGCACCTCAATCCAAAGTTATAATTTTGGTAAATATTGTTGGACTTAAAAGCCTTCTGGGGTTTCAAAAGAAAACTTGAAAGTAATTTTCAAGTGAGTTTTAACGTCTGTTTTGAAACTGACTATTGTTGTTAAATTTGACGAATCTTTGTTTGGACATGACAAGCTAAGGTTTTGGTTGCCAGGTACGGTTAGTCGCAGGCCGCCTGGTCGGCACCACCAGATGTGCTCTCCTGCGACGTGGTGACGGAAGAGGGAATTTGTTGTGTGGTTGCTGCTGCTAGCTAGCTGTTACATTGTCGTGGTCGGCAATTTTGCCTTGCCGTGCCAAACCTTTCGTGCAACACGGTACAGAAGGAGCAGCTAGCTAGCCCGTGGCTTCATTCACCTTCAGGTCGCCATTAAGCACCTGGGCTCCCCTTCCCCAATACAACAACAACAACTGATTAACCACCTCACACACATGCAACTGGCATGCATGCATGAGAATGGAAGCTGCAGGGTGTTCCGGTTGGGTTTGGTCTCCGTTGCTTTCCCACGCCGTTCAGCACGCCACATCAGCGTCGACGACGCCCTAACAGAAAACGGCTCCTTTTTTTCTTTCTTCTCGCCTTTGCCTTGATCCTTTCAGCTAGAGGTTGGCCGATCCGTTGGCTTTCTTTATCTGCTTTCCGCGTGAGAGGATACTTGCTTTTGCAGCTGTAGTGTGTCTGTAGTGATAGTTAGCAAGCAGTAGTCATCAGTAGTAACATAAAGCATACCACCACTAGATTACTACTGCTAGGAGTACTCCCTCTACTTTAAAAATGTGCGTTTGTGTTTATATATATGTTGGGTGGTCAGGTCATGTCCTTGTCAGCTTCAAGCTATGGATCGGATGGGATGAGGCTGCCGACAATCATCACAAGTATAGTGATCATCAACGAACTGCCCCCGAAAACAACGCGTAACCAGCTGAATATATACCCGATGCCAACGTTCAAACAGCAGGCCGCCACAGAAAGAGATATGCATGGCATGGGGCATTCAGTTTCTAGCCAGCAGCAGGCTTTTGTGCACTTCTTGATGAGTAGGAGTAGTAGTTGAGTAGTTTGGGGGGGCACTGGGGCAGGGCAGTACCCACCAACAACCAAGCATGGTGCCGCTTTGCCTGACCTCATCAACGGAACAAACAGACATGCTGAATCATAAAGAAAAACACAAGGCATCCAGCCGATCCGTCGTCTAGTTTAGTTGTGCTAATTCTTGAATGAATTTAATATAAGTCAACAAACATATCAGACCTCTCAGGTGCATATATCTATCTGGTAGTTGAACGTTGCAAATATAAAGAAGATAAGTCAATCTGCAAACATATTGTTCCAGCTGATTATTATGAGAAAAAAATATTATTTTGGCAGGATATGAACAGTGATTCTGTGAGGTGGCCCAGCCAGCCAGCCGAACACGCCAATAACGTCGTCGATTCAGTTTGCCAGGACTGATGTTTGTTAGGAACGTTACAAATGCAATAAAGGCTCGACGTTGGGGGCACACAAATGCTGGGGCGAAAAGGTTGATGCCGTGTTTAAATACAAAATTTTTTTATAGTCTAAATTGCACGGTTTTGCAATATAGTTTGGTTTTGGAGGCTATGACACGTTGGATTGCAACTTTGCCTTGTATTTTGAAATTTCAAACGGTCAGTCTATTTCCTCAGCACATGTGTGCTTGTAGCAAACGGCCCTAATAAAGGTATCAGAATTCATATAGTTTTGATTTCATACATGTGTTGGCATGGAAAATTTTCACGACTCATAATCTGAAAGGTTTACATTTTCAATGCACAAACATTCTTTTTTGTGTGTGTCTTGACAAGAACATCCGACGCTCCAGTCTATTGAATTTTGGTTTTTTTAGTCATGTCCATGTTTGAGCGACACTAGCTGTTATAGTGGGATGCACGCGAAGTGACCATGTTCTATGGTGGCGTTGAGTTCTGTATGTCCATGCACAAACGATCGGCACCCCTGCTGCTCCCCGAAAATTTTACATCCTTCAGTTTAGCATGAAAGACATCGTTTAAACATGGTTTAATTTCTCTCAGTGGTGGAACCAACAAATTTAATTAAGGGGGGTCGGACAAACATGGTGACACCTTATAAGTGTTATAATTATATATATAACTGTAGGTCTCAATAATTTTTCAATGCTTGTCCATATGTAGTAAGTATTCATAATAAAAAATCATAATTTATGATAAAAGATGAGTAAAAATGGGTAAAATATGATGTCCATTGCAATATTTATAGGTGTATTTAAATAGTTATCGCTGCTATTTTTTGATCTGTGTGTGTGTGTGGGTGGGGGGCACGGGCCCTACGCTAGCCCCCTGGTTTCGGCAATGGCGCAAGCAGTCCCCCAGGTGCATAGGGTGAGCACCTGCAATATACATCACAGTCACAAACAAGCAAAAAAAAAAAAAGCAAGCAAGCAACAAGCCGATTAGCTAATGAACATGTAGTAGACGTACTAAGTCCAGGAAGTTCAGGGAAAAGCGTAATGCCAAGCTCCATTCGCGTGCTCTTAAATTTGGCTTGATCCGCTTATTTTTTCATCCGAAACAGTGTTTTTCTCTCATAAATTCCTCCAGCATTTTTTCAAACCATCCAAATTCCTCCAAAATTCGGACAAGCGAACAGACCCTGTAGTAACTGAGATCCAACCCTTCTTCATGGTCACCAACCGTCCGATTAGCTCCAGAAAGCTAGCGGTGACGAGGCAGCTAAGGAAAAAGTCCAGGTAGCACTAATTTCTTACTTAATATACATAATTTTTAGTTTTAATGGCCGGTTTGATAGTTATTTAAGGAAGTTTGTAGTCAACAAGGAGGGGCCATGCCGCCGGGGGACAGGAGTGCTGGACAGGCAGGCAGGCAGTTAGCTGTCGCTCGCTCATCCTCCGCTCTCCGCTCCGCTCTCGCCCTCACTGTCGATCGTTTGACTGATAAGCCGAGTTAAAATTACTGTTAACTTATTTATCGTGAGAAAAAAATACTATTTATTAACTTTAAAAATTATGATTTATAAATTGAACCTGCCACAGGTAATTCCTCTTCAGCAGCTTCTGCCAATGGCCGGCTAGCTGGCTGGCTGTCGTATATAATTCCTCTTCGTCCTTTCCTTGCTTTTGCCCATCCATCCAAAACCGTCAAGAATCCTAAACAGGGAATAGCTCGGCACTGGTGGTCCACTGGAGCACGGCACAAACAAAAATCTCCATCTAACTAGGACTACTAGGAGATGAGCTCAGCTCCTGGTAGACCATTCTAGTAGTGTTAGGTGATGTTTGTTTGCTCCTCCTAAATTTTAATCGTTGTTCCATCGAATATTTGACACATTGAGTATTAAATATAGATTAATTATAAAACTAATTGTATAGTTTACGACTAATTTACGAGATGAATTTTTTAAGCCTAATTAGTTCATGATTAGATAATGTGGTGCTACATTAAATATATGCTAATGATGAATTAATTAGGCTTAAAAATTCGTCTCGTAGAGTACTAACGAATTATGTAATTTATTTTTTTATTAGTATCTAAACATCCCATACAATATCCTTTCAATACACCTCATAAATTTAAGTCAACGATCAAACACCACCTTAGTATCCTGTACGGTTCTGTACCATCCAACAAACTGAAACAGGAATCCTAAATTTTAAGTACGGTTCATGGAGCATTGTACCAATTTAGTTGAAAATCCAATCTTTTAAAAACTGAAACAGGAAGGTTACTATTCATCGGTTTGAAATTTTTTTCAATCTAAAATAGCCCAAGACAGACAAATTTGCACGATCCAAGAAACTTGAGGCCTCATTCATTCATCTTCTTCATTTTTTTCCCGTCTCTGTACAAGAACAACATGACAATTTCGAGGATGCATACTCCGTCTGTCTGGTATTGTACTCTTAACTCTACTGATTACTGATTACCAGCAGCAAGGAAAGAAGGATCCTTGCTCTGCAGCTTATTCAGGTGGCGGTGTCCCGTGCCTCTTTTCTACGTCTCTGCTTGCTTGGAGAGCTTAGCTACACTGGACAAGGGGCCAAAAATTGAAGAAGAAGAAAAAAAGATAGAGAAATGGCTAGATTAACAAAGGAATTTGGGACGGGGGATATGACTGATATTGTTTAAACGACGGCTTGGCATGAGCTAAAAGCCGACGGGATGGAGCTCTTCTTCTCTTCACTTGCCGCACCGCACGGCACACGCTGTTCTTTGTTCATACACGCGCTGGCCGCCGCGGATCGATCGGCGATTCGTTTATCTTGGACGCCTGCTGCTGCTGCTGTGTGCTGAACTACTCGATCTTGGCCATGCCCATCATGCGCTTGCTCACGGCGTGCACGGCGCCGTCGGCGCGCGGATCGAAGCCCGACCCGGACATGTAGTTCCGGACCTCGATCCGGATCATCTCCTGCATCATCAGCAGGAACTCCGAGCTGAACGGCGCTGCTGCCGGCTGCGGCGACGTGAGGTTCGTCGCGGGCGCCGGCGCCTGCAGCTGGAACGGCAACCTCGGTTGTGCTTGTGGCGGCGGCGGCATCTGAGGAGGAGCTGGCTGCTGCCGCTGTATCTGTACAGGAGGTTGAGGCAGTGCCGGTGCCGGCATCGTTGGGGATGGTTCGGGCTGCTGCTGGTCCAGCCCTGGCAGGGAGAGGGACAGCGACAAGGAGGTCGCCGGAGGCGGCTGCTGCTGCGGCGGCGGAGGAGGAGAAGGCGGCCGCGGCGCAAGAGGCGGCGCCACCGGGAGCACGACCACGCCGCCCGCGCGCGGCACGGGGCGGTACACGTGCTGCTGCTGCTGCTGGGAGGTGACGGCGGCAGCGGCTGCGGCTGACGGCATGACGGAGGGAAGGCTGTGGTGGCTGGAGTCGCTGAGGTCGGACCCGGACGGGCTTCCGGGGCTGAAGCAGAGGCCCGGGTGGCCGTCGCTGCTGGTGCGCTTGAGCGGGCGCTCGTCGTCGGCATCAGCACCACCACCAGGGCCGGCCGCCGCATCGCCGGTGGCGGCGGAGGCGGAGGCGGCGTAGTACTTGCGCTTGAGCGTAGAGTTCCAGTGGTTCTTGATGGCGTTGTCGGTGCGGCCGGAGAGGAGGCGCGCGATGGTGGCCCACTTGTTGCCGAACCTGGCGTGCGCGCGGAGGATGGTGTCGTCCTCCTCGGGCGTGAAGGGGCGGTGCTCCACCTGCGGCGACAGCTGGTTGCACCACCGGAGGCGGCACGACTTGCCGGACCGCCCCGGGATGGAGCGGCTGATGAGGGACCAGTTGCGGGCGCCGTGGCGGGCCACGAGCCGCTGCAGGGCCTCGTCCTCCTCGGGGCTCCAGGGGCCCTTGATCCGGTCCACGTCCGCCTTATTGCCGCCGCTGCCACGGCAGGACGGAGAAGGAGACGCCATGTTTGTTTACTCGAAACTAGTTCGGAGTATTGCTATTGGGGCGTGTGGCCTGGTCCGTCGATCGATCTGTGACAGTGAGGCGATGAGCTTGGATGGAAGCGAGGGCAAGTATTGGGGGTGGAGGGAGGGAGGGAGGAGGAAGAAGAGGAGACGAAGAGAGAGGTGGAGTGAGAACTGGGAAGTGAAGGCTGCAGAGAGGCAGGGAAGGAGGATATATAAAGGGAAGGAGATGGCAGATGGGGAGGACTCCAGCCGGTCAGCCGGTGGGAGGTCACCGCCTCACCGGAGCGGAGGGGCAGGTGCAGGAATGCGTGTGCGTGCGTGCGTGGTGGTGTGGTTCCAGATGGGCGGGCAGGCAGATCGCAGATGGCAGATGCAGCTGGGGGTGGATTGGGTACAGCTGGCTGCGGGGACACGCGTCCCTCCGCCCGCCCACGCCCCGACCAAGGGACTCGTACTGTACGTCCGTTGCGGGCACACGAGAAAAGAAATCTTTTTAAAAAAGCACAAGAAAAGAAATCTGAGACGAAAAATCTCAGGGGGCGGAGGAGACGGTTGGTTTGCCCCCTTGGTTAGTTGGGTAGGGTCGTGGACTCGGAGTTCTGTCGGTCCGGCCCGCGGGCCCGGCCTTTGGCTTTCTTTCCGAACGGCTGTAACCCTGGGCCGTTGCGCCGGGATATGTTTTTTCGTTTAAGAAAATGGAATTAGGTTCCTCGATCCCTTCTTAAATAAAGTGTTCGTAGCATAATAGAACAATTAAAAGGGAGATGCCTGATTTTAAAGTTTTTTTTTTCCGGTGATGTATAATAGGCATTAGATCATATACATAAATCCAACCATCCAGAAAACCAGCACTATACATCTACTTTCTCTGGCTCTCGATCTTTCTCTCGATCCTTGATTTTAGGCATCTGTGCTATAGGAAATGTGCAATTAAAATAGGAACTAGCTCAATTCCGGTGCTACAAACCTTTGCACAGTCCGCCTTTGTTCCTGATAAAAGAATGTTAGAAACAATTCACATTGGAGTCAAATACTTCCTCTATCTGGATTATAAGTGTATTTTAATTAATCATAACAATTATAATGTGTTTTATTACAAGACGAGGAATCAGGGATCACGTCCTACGGTAATCTTAGGTGATGTTCCAAAATCAAGGATCATATTGTTCCAAAATCGAGTTGGTTCGTTGCACACTTCACTGACCTCACCACGGCGGCGCCCCATCTGCGTCCGTCATTCTTATTACATGCACCGTCGTTCTTAGTACCGCAGGCTTTACACAGCTAGCTAGCTTTTGCTTTCGGTCAGCGGTGGACGATGTGATCAGCGAGCGGAGGCGCCCCTCCGATCCGTCAACAACCCAGACGGCACGCCGCAACTAATCATCCTAGCTAGCTACTGTAGCATATAGCAAAGCAACGAATGAAGATCGGGGAGTTCGTTCGTTCGTTCGTCGTCGTCGTTCCTTAATTTGTTAGTCTGCATCTCTACTACGTACTATATAGATAGATAGAAGTATACTTGTTTTCAATCTGGTGCTCGATCGGTCTCATTTCGCTAGCTTCTCCCACATTTGGAAAATCGATGGCTGGTGAACCAACAACCGAAACCACGGGAGTTTGCACGTCTCAATATCCGCTTGCCTTTAGGTTTCGTAAAAGAAGCAGCACAGTTTAGTTTATTTGCCCGTTTTAGGTTCTTTCTCTTTCTTGTCCTTGCTATGTTTTTCTCTATTCATCGCCAATAAACATAATACGCATGCAGACGACGGTCACGATGCATGTGCACTCATCATCCTAAAGATGCAAATTATTATTGTTTCATTCCTTACAGGTAAAACAAATTACAATGGACCAAATCTAAAGCAACGACTTGTATTTTTTAACTAAGCTTAAACTTGTTGATCGACTTACTAGAAAATCTATTAAGTGTACTTATCAGCCCGACTTATTAGACATGGTACAATATTTTTTTCTAACAACAAATCAGTATCAGCCGACTTATTAGCCGCAGAAACCAGAGAGGCGCTCGCATTTTCACACACGAGTGAACTGACGCTTTGCCGGTTTAATTTCTACCGTGCGATGCGTTCGATGTGGTCGCCGAGTAAGTGTGGCGGCATGATGCATGTGTGTGCCTCTTAGCTTAGAATAGAAAAAGAAGAGGCAAGGAGTAGTAGTATATAGCGAATCCCTAGAAGGAACGAATGATTATCGCGCACGGCACTCGCAAGAATATATTGCCCGGGTCCCGGTCCGGGTAACACAGACGACATACGCTTTTGGTGGTAGAAGCTGCTGCTGCGTGGGGACATGATTTCAATTCAGGCCCTTGGCTTAGCCCCAACCATGCATGCCACTCATTGGCCGTCATTTGTCTGAGCATATGCATCATCATTCATAATTCATAGGAGTGTATGCAAGCTCATGCTCCTTTTGTTTCGTGATGGCCACCGCCGGCCGGCTACTTGCTAACTGGTCTGACCAGTCGACATCAGGACCAACCACTTGTTGCACCGGCGATCGATTGGGAGGTTATGCCATGCGTGAGCACTAGTGACTCTGACAGCCTCTCGGTTGGCACACAGTACCCTTGATTGACCGCTGTCTTTCTCTCTAACTACAGTAGATGCCAAACTTAGCTTAGTCTGTGTTTAGTTCGTGAAATTTGAGAAGTTGGTCTACTGTAGCACTTTTTGTTTTTATTTAGCAATTAGTGTTCGATCATGGACTAATTAAGCTCAAAACGTTCGTCTCGCGATTTTCCAACCAAACTATATAATTAGTTTTTTTTTCGTCTATATTTAATGCTCATGCACGCATCGTAAGATTCGATGTGATAGCTACTGTAGCACTTTTTGGAAAAGTTTTTGAAACTAAACACAGCCTTAATGCTTATTTGCAGTTCAGCCAGAGTAATATGTTTCTTGTGCGTTACTCCCTCCGTCTCATTGAATATGTCGTTTTTTACTTTTACGCTTCTTGTTTAAATGTTCATCTTATTCAATTTTTTTTTATAAATAATAAAATAAATAAATTATTATTAAAATATCTTTGATGATAAAATAAGTCATAACAAAATAAATAATATTTATATAAAAATTTGAATAAAGCGAACGACCAAACAAAAAAATTAAAAGTTAAAAACGATAATTTTACTGGACAGAGGGAGTACGCCGGAGCGCTCTTTTCATTTTGGCCCACTTTGGCCCCCCTAAAGAGGAAAAAAGATTATTTATACCTTCATTGATGCAGGTTGTGTTGCAGTCCTCTCGTCAATCAAGGGCAATAATCCATGTTTCTCTGATGTACAATTGCCTGAAAAAAACACCGGAGATCTGTCGTCTGCGTGGGATTGCGGATTTGGGGTAGCCATTTTTTTTTTAAATTGCTAAACCTCAACCGGTTGATTTGGCTTCTCCCAACAACCGATTTGGGGGTCATCTGATCTGGCGTGGACGACCATGGCGGGCGCACGCGGCCTGCAGGGGTGCACGGCCAGCGAGCAGGCGAGGCGGCACGGCCACCGAGGCTCGGCAAGGCAGTAGGCGTGGCGGGCCTTGGAGCTCGTGGCCCCGGCCATGGCAGGCGCACGGCTTCAGCGGGCGCGGCGCGGGGCGCGTAGGGCCGGCGGCCGGTGACGAGGAGGGCGAGCGTGGCGACCCGGAGGTACTGGCGATGACGTGGGCGAGCGCGGTGACCTGAGTCTCGTATGTTGCCTGGTTCGTTCGCTCATGGGAAGATGGAAGGGTCACGAAAGACGGGAAGGGAAGGAAGGGAATGGATAAGGTTAGAAGGGTGGGTCCCACTAGTATGTGTAAATAATTTATAATTTGTTTTGAAATTTGTGAAGAATTTGACATATATTTCTCTGATAGGAAAGACAAAAACAACTGAATGTCACCTAGACAAATCTTTTTTTTAATCTGAATCAAATCCTAAGGAATAGGATTGGCCTCGAAACGAGTTGGGAGAGTCAAGCTGCACAACGGAATAGCGTGTCGCAATGTGCCGTTGTGCTAGAGAGGCAGCAAACAAATTCCGTTCCGTCGCCGTTGTCGTGGCTACGGCGGCAGGGCAGTGAGAGACTGGGAGTGGAAGCCAGGCTGTGGTGCCTCTGCGTCTGGGAGCGAGCGCCTCCCTGCCAACCGACACCCTCCGGCGCCAGCGCCGAGGGGCCGAGGCAGAGCTGAGCCCCACCAAAATCATTCAAATCCGGGACACCGGACACGTCCTCGGCGAGACATGAGAGCAGAACCAGAGCGGCGAAATATCCCATTCCCATCCCCCGAGCGCGACGCAACCGCCTCGCGCGCGCACGCGCCCAGCAGCTTCCTGCTCCGGCCGGAGTCCACGCGACACGGCGACGAGTCACCCTGGCATTTCTTTCGACAGAAAAATAAAGCGACAAAGGAAGGTAGACACTGGATGGAGCGAAGGGCTTGATTGATTGATTGGGCGCCGTGGCCCCGTATCTCGAGCGGCTTCCAATTCATGACCAGTTAAAATCATGACATGCCAAAATTTACAGTCATCAACCGGTTCATTGCGAAAGAATTAGCACACTAACATTTATGGCTAAATTTTTAACAAGTCTCTAAAAAATTCTTAAACTGTATATAAAAGAGAAAATTGATTTTGGTGGCCAACCAAATGCTTGCCTATGTTTTTTTGTCTTAACTTTTTTAGCTTTGATTTTAGCAAGCTTAAAAGTTGGCTTACCATAATTTTAGTTGGACAAAAATTAGTAGCCAACCAATTAGCCCCTCCTCTCCTTTTGGCTTCCTTTGGCAAATCTCACGAGCTTTATTAGCTCCGTCCGTGGAGCAGCTAAAGTTAATTCTTAACTAGCTATAAGACCTAAAGCTAACTATTTGCTAACTTAAATTGGCTCTATGTTGTGCATTGTGCCTCCGTTAAGGAAAGTATTTAGATCTTTTCTTGCCTATTGCTGTGCCTTGCCAACTAGTAAAGTGAATCAACAACTAGTTGATGCT